CCCACAGCACGTCTAGTACATCTGGATTTCAAGGTGAAATTGAGAGGACAAGATAGAATATCTGTATCGGTTAGGAGATTTCTTCCTGGAATTTGACGAAAACAAGTCGGCATATTTTTACAGTATGCAAATTAGAATAACACTGTGGATAAGTTGGCCGGAGCATTTTTGCTGAAAATGTTTTCCCCCAAAAACACTTGGTTGAATTCTCAGAGAGGCGATATTTTCTTGTCAAGGGGCAGGGGTAGTCTAGCATTATTGGAATTAATTATGTGACTAGTAATACACTTTGCAGGTGGGATTTGTACTCGCCTTATTCGGAAAAGATCTTTAGAAGTGAATGGAATCATCACATTGTCATTTGTTAAAAAACGGCTTTTGCATGTCCTATGCAACCCATTTGATGGGCGACGCATGACGGGCGACGCACGGCTCGCGCTATACGATCTTTGGGCTAGGCTTAGGCCTACTGTACCCAATTGCCCATTTTCAAATTTCAGACCCCCATTTAACTAACTGACTATGACAATATTTACTGCTTACTTGGCCTTAACAGCCTGGAATATATTCATAGACGGTATCTTCGCCTTTTCATTGATTTCCTGCTCATCTTCACCCTGAATTCGTCTGGTTTTTTCAGGGTCTGGGTCGTGAGAGTTACCGTCAGAGTCCGCCATCTTCCCAAATGAAATCGCTCACCAGTGCGCCCTCTATTGAGCCGTAGTTCAAGGTCAAACTGTGCCAAAATACAGTAGGTAAAATGTGATTGGTTCAAAAATCAATGCTGTTTGTTTGTTTGTTTGTTTGTTTGTTTTTAGTTTTTAATGGTCCAGGGGTACTTCACATGCACAAATTAACGACCAGAAATCTTTATCACGGGCGATATTCTGATTTATTTACTAAAAACTATAACATTTCTAATGTGAGTAATAAAACTTGACGTCTAATTTAACTCACTGACATGGTCGCTATGCAAAATATAACGCCATGAAAATTGGCTTGGATGTTTACAAACTATATTTTATGAAAATAAGATTCATAACCCCTTCACTTTAGGATTAAAGTCTGAAAAAGCTCCAACTGTCAAGTAAAATTCGTTTAAAATTTGCATTATTTTTTCCCACGCAAAGAAAATATATATTCCTGCCGATTCCCACTTTAGCTCTTATATTTTCCCAAAGCCTGAACCTTCACGAACAACTAAAAAAAACTGGCTGCGACTTTTTGCGACTTTTGAAGATATTCTATTTTAAAGTGGTACGCGAGATGCTCTGACGCGCCTGTTTGGACTCAATTGCATGTAACGACGTGTGCGTGTGACAGGTTGCATTTACCTCGAGGCGTCAACCACTACAGCAAAAAACAACACGCTCGGTAGACATAGTTGTCTTTCATTTGTTTGTACTCGTTATAAGGTAGACAGAAACCATATACATGTCAACAACAACGTTTAGAAGAAGCGTTTTGCGTACATTTCTAGCCCATCAATATCTGTTTAAAAATCAAGCACTCGTTTTAAGTTCCAAACTGCCCATGATTATTGACGAATTGTGACCCCCAAAACACTTGTAATGGCTTCGTAGAGAGGCATAGTGTATTCCCATGCAGTTTTCACCCAAGCAGCATTATCATCCGGAGAAAAGCATGCCATTTGTCGGGTATCTGTTTAAAATCAAATATATTTGAAGTCCCAACTGTCAGTGATTCTTGACATGTGTGATCCAGGGACAAGACTGCAGGTCTTTGAATTAACCGATTTGAAAGCCTAGTAGTTAATTGCAAGTTGTCACTGGTTGTGCATAAACGCAATATCGGGAACAAGTCAATTTCATTCAATAATTTCATGAGTTCAGCATATCTTCCATACCCAGAAAGCTGTTGTAAGTACAACACTGAAGTCCCATTTGGGAGATGCATGTTTTTTTCTCTGAATATCACGGTTCCAGCAATTAGACATTCCAGATGAAATTCAAGAGAAGATCAAATAAACCATGTACAGTTTTCTGTATAGATTGAAGGGAAAAGGGATAGCTTGTAGCCGCAACAAATCTCAGTTCGAGAGGAAAAATGGAGAGTGGTTACAAGCAGAGGTGTTGTTCCCACTGGAAGTTGATCATTGGCTCTCTAAAGTGAAAGAAGTCTCTAGGTCTGATGAGGGAGCATCGGGTTCAGGAGCAGGTTGACCCAGCAAGGATTGGACTTTAATTTCCAAGCGATCAAAACAACGGAGGGCCCAAACACTGCTACAGGAAAGTGAGCACCGGGAGCTTCTTTTTGCAGCTTCAAGGAGCTTATGGGAGGAACCCAGACTTGAGATATGTTCTTCAG